ACCAACTGATACTGCTGGTAGTCAAGGTCAGGCCGGATTATCCATTAGGCACAGTGCCTAGAGCCTACGAGATATTGGGGGCCTACGAAAAATAAAACGAGAACTTTTCTTCCCCTTTTTCTACAGGTTATTATTAAATTGATACTGAGGTACTTTTTTTCCATTTATTTATTACTAAATCCTATTAGTATCTATTTACTTGATTATTTTCTATACTATTCTATTTAGGCATATTCTGGCCATAGGTGAAAGCAAAATAGTAGAAGAAAGTTGTTTCAAAGAGTACACAAAATTTTTATTTTTTTCAGTTGTCTAATACTTTTTTTACTTTTTACTTTTATCCTCTTCGCCACTGATCGGCTTGTTAGCCGCTTGGGCGATCGGTCACGTCTCTTTTCCTTTATATTCTTCACCAAAAGGTCGGCTCGCTAGCCGCCCGGGCGATCGGTCACGTCTCTGTCACGCACTGTTGGCAAATACTGGGCATGCACCGGCTCCTGAATGTACCTGAACCCGCTCCAGTGTTGGTCAAGTCTTCTCTTGAAAGAGCTCACACTCGGTGCCGTCACAACACTCTCTGGTAGATTGCGTTCAAGAGTTTACAACCCTCACTCCGAAAAAGTTTGCCCTCACGGTTTTCCGGACTTGCGGCTTCTTCAATCTTGAGCTGTGACCCCTTGTGGGGCGAGCATCTGCCAGCTCCAAGTAAGGACACTCAACTGAGTAGTGCCCCTGAGATGCTTATAAACCTCAACTAGGTCCCCCTTGCCCGTCTGTAGTATAAGCTAGGCAAGTTCAGGCGCTCAATCTCTCAGGGTAGCTGAGATGCTGAAGTGCAGGCACCAGTTTGGTGGCCCTCCTTGAACATTTTCAACCAACTGACAGTCCCTAGCATATCTCGGGGACCAGATGGGGTGACAGTACTCAGATGGGGAAGCACTTCACTCCTGAAGATCGTCACGAGGGACGGACCGTCTAGATATCTGAACGACCTTCTTATAAGACCCAATAATTTATTTGCCTGATTTACCTTCTTCTCACAATGGCCCGAGAACTTCAGCTCATTGTCAACATACACACTAGGTCCTTCTCACACACAGTCTCAACTAGTACATTTTCTTCATCCGTTGGGACATATGGTACGCCTCCTTACCGTTGGTACGCCCCAGGTGCATCCTCTTACACTTCGTGACATTGAATCTCAGCAGCCATTCCTTCGACCATTCCTGGAGCCCACAGAGGTCCTTCTGCAGCTCTTTACAGTCCGCTTGGTTCTTAATTTCCCGAAATAACTTGGCGTCATCGGCAAACATTTGTATGGAGTGTACAACGTCAGGCATATCATTTATGAAACAAACAAACAACAGCGGGCCCAATACACTACCCTGCGGTACCCCACTTTTTACAGGTACAGATGACGATTTCGTGCCATTAATCACCACATTGCTTGCGGTCATGTAGAAAGTCTTCTATCCACGCTTGGACATTTCCCGAATTCCACCCTTCCAGTTTGATTTTCAGCCTTTCGTAGGGTACACTGTCGAAAGCCTTGGCAAAATCTAGGTAAATATTGTCGATATTACCACCCGTTCTAGAATATGGGTCCAAATATCCAATACCGAACAATTGTGTCAAGCAAGAGCGCCCCGGCATAAAACCGTGTTGGCAATCTTTTACAAGGTTGTTTCGTAGTAGATGTTCCATCGCTGCATCTCTGATAATACTCTCAAGTACTTTACATATTATGCTGGTCAGGCTCACCGGTCTATAGTTGTTCGTGGAGTGCCTATCGCCCTTCTTGAAGATAGGACTCACATAAGCCACTTTCCATTCACTGGGGACCATTTGTACATACTTTTGTTTCTGAAATATCCTATACAAGTTACAACGTAATCATTAGGAAATGTTTAGAACATACTCAATATGCCAAAGCAACTACTACGGAAAATTGACACAGATTTTAAGTTAAGATATTTATTAGATCAAAACTTTACGGCTTTTTTGCAGTGCAAATTGTTTTATTTTGTCATTAGTGTCTATCTTTCGAAGCAGTTCATTTTCAATTGAAGTAGGGAAAGAGCAGAGAGCCGCTCTTCCCATAGTGGATCTTAAACAGTTTTTAATTCTTTTTAGTTTGGAAAAGGACAGCTAGCTTTCACAACTGGTTGCAAACAGTGAAAGATAAATTCGAAATGCAATGTGGACATAAGGAAAACTGGTTATTAATCCACAGTTGATTAGTTGTTTCAGCATTCTGTGGAGTTCAAGATGTTTGGTTCACACTCAGGATGGGATGGAGAAAGGAAACTCACAATGTGCTCTCTATATACATGTTGTATTGGATGTACAATGCAGCTTGGTGCTGGGAAGGCAGCATGGTTACAAGCGTGATGTAGAGAGAGCTGGTTGGTGAGGGTGCTCAGAGGAGGAACTTGTGGGTTCGCCATGCTCGCCGGCAGGGCGAGGACGCCAGGCAGGCAGAGGAGGGAGGCGCCAGGCAGCGGGAGGAGTGGTGGTGTTGCTGGCTGGTTGGTGGAGGTAGAAAGAGACAGGTCACCACGAGGTCAGGTCTTAAATAGCGGGGGGTAGGCGTGGCTTAGTAGTTGACCCCCGCTCCGTGATGTATGGCGGCGCTGGTTGACCTAGACCACGAGGCATACACTGGGGAATTGGCGGAGTCGGCTACTCAGCGACAAACAGCGTTTGTAGGGGAGAAATCCACTACAATTCCATTCACGGTTTTCTTCTCGACATATTTGAGAATAGCAAAAACTCATCAGCAAAACATTCTTCCAAATCACTGGAATATGTCTTCACTAGATTTCTGGCTTTCAGGATCACTTTATCCTGGGACAGTGAT